ATGTAAATAGATATTAAATATTAAAAAATAAATAAATAACGATTTATGGATAAGAGGCTGTGACAAGTGAGTCACATGATAGCTCATTTGCATTTATAAAACCTAACGTAGATTTATTGCTTCTGGATGACATTTCATACAATTCATAATTAATTGTATGTAAACTACATAGATATGTATCGGTTGCTTTAATGCAAGTCTTTAGCATCCTTAATCAAGTGTGTTAGTTCTTGTAGAGAATTAAATTTAAAAAATTATTAATATTATATTTTGAAAAGAAATGGACAAATATGGACTGTGCTTTTTAATGTTTAATTAATGTTCTAAAAACTTGAAGCAATATACCGATTATAATTCAGTTCAAGTTATCAATTTTGATATATCATATTTTAAAACGAAGTAATAAATAAGGAAACGATATTTTTTTCACTTCTTTTTCTAAGTTGACAGATGTTTAAAATTTAAAGGTGTTATAACAAGTGATCAGAAAAACCCTCTTATTATTAGTTGATCGTTTTTTTATTTTCCGAGCGTAAGCTAAGGAAGTGTAGTAATCAAGTCTATCGGACAAATAGCCACTTTTATATTTTTTCGACGTTTCATGACCCCTACAGGACGAAAGAAGTAGTCTCCCGTTTCCGCCTATCTGTCTGTCTGTCTGTATCCAGTAATCTCCGAAACTGCTGGACCGATTGTTGTCAAATTTTGTGTGTATAATAAAAATATCATGTGGATGGTTAAATGCTAACCAGAATTTTGGTATTTTAAAATGATTTGAATGTTGTACAAAAATATACTCATATACTTGTAGTGTACGAATCCTTTCAGTTTTCTCGCCAAACGTTCAAATTTTCGTAAAAATATTTGCAAGGTATAATAGCGTTTTATTCCCAATACGGTTTGTACTGTTGGTTCGGTCCCGAACTTGGCCCTTTCCTTTTTTTCTTGCATTGGTATAACGCTGTGACTACTTTTATTTTGCGACTAGAATTATCCATGCTGATGACGTCATCACAAATTTTTTATTGTTCAAATTAAGAACGAGTCACCCCATTTTCTCGAAAGTGTGAAGAATTCGCACGTGTTTATATAATAATGATAAAATAAGAATTATTCAGAACATTTTGTTAGATTGTGGTTTAAAATAATTTTAGTCCTGTTTTGAGAAGACAGACTCATTCAAATCAAACTAAGTTCTACGTGACATTCTTTGGATGCATAAACATAAATAAACACTTGAGCTTCAGATTGCTATTACCTACTGCTGAAGGACAAGGGATGTTATTTATGCCTCTGGTTTTTACTTTAGAGTGGTTATCACAAAACGAAAATCGTAAAATCAAATTTTATAACTTTTTCAAAGAGCTGTATTTGTCGGATTATACTTGTAGCCTTCGACCAATTTTATGTTGATCAAATTAAGAACCTCATTTTTTAGATTTACTTATACAGGGTCAGTCAAAAAAAATAATAAATCAGTCAATTTATTTTATTGAATAAATCAAGAATTGCAAAACTGCATACTTTGAAATCTTGCAGACGTTTTAAGGTTATTGTCAACATGGTAAATTGTTAATCAAAATTTATCTGCTTATTTGTTTTGTTGAGTGTAAAAATCAGGGCATTTTCATTATTTTTGTAAATTAATTAATTAAATAAACACATTAACAACAGAAATTATTTTCCCTTGTAACCTCACTTTTTTTGGGGGACATCCTATTGACGTAAATGCCGACATATACGCGTTCTGATGACAAAAGACGATCAACAAGTAGTAACTAGATGGTTTACATTATTATGTGGGTAGTAAAAGAAAGAAAAACCAGAAACATACACTTTCGTATTCTACATGGTGTAGGACACATTGACGACTCGTTAGAGGAGGCACAATAGTCTTCTACATTTAACTAATTTCGGTAATGTGTTGACAACTTTTTCAAAAGCAAAATGTCCGTTTAAAAATTTCAAAATTTAATTAAAAACTTTGTCTTATAGATTTCAACCTCCAGTACTTGGTTTCGGCCTCATTTCTTCGATAGCTCGTACCATTTTTCCAGAATCGCCAACTGAAATATTGCAATTTTTTTTATTTAAACAAAATTTATTTTCAAACCGAATATTTTTGAATCTCGCTCTTGAAACAAAAAATATAGATTTTGACCCCCAGATGTTAGTTTTATCTTCATTTCCTCTATAGGTTCCACAATTGTTTCAGAATCGTCCTTTGAAATATTGCAATTTTAAACCGAATATTTTTAAATCTTGAACCGGGAGCATAAACTATGTTTTTGGAATCAGAACGACGAAATCTATGTGCAATTTTTTGGGAATTTTCTGGCAACTTTTTCAAATAATATGTATAATGTTTATCTCTACAACACCGATAACACACAAAATATTTGTCACGTTGGCATAATCTAGACAAAGCTAATCTAGTTTAGAGTTAATTTTTTCTACATCATGCCACCGTGGTTGGCGAAACGTGTCCGCAAATATTTTGTGTTTTCGGTGTTCTGGGGGTAAAAGTTATATTATGACAGCGCACCGAGTAATCAAAAAGGTATAAATTTTAAAAAGCACAATTTTCCTTTGAATATTTCAGCCAATTTTCGACAAATTTCGAAATTCAACCATTGTAAATCTTGACTTCCGAAAGTTAGTTTTGGCCTCATTTCCTTGATAGCTTCTACTATTTTTCCAGAATCGTCCACTGAAATATTACAGAGTTTTGGATTTATAAAAATGAGTTAGTTGGATCACGAGTCCAAATACTATTTTGCATAACATGAATACTCGCAAAATATTTTGTGGGCGTTTAATCAACAACATTTTTCATGTCGACACACATTTAAATTTGTTGAAAAATTTTAAAATTATTGAATCAAAAATGACCGTCGCATTTTTTGCTTTTTATCAATTCAATTTCAGTTTTGACATTTCGTTAAATATTAATTGCCATTTATCAACTGTCGCATATAACAAATTGAATCGTGATTTATACTTTTACTAATTGTTTAATGGAAAATTGATTTAGTTAGAGTGACGGAATAACAGTTGTTATTTTTACATTCGGAATCAGTGTTGCCCCGAATTCTAGCGTGTTGCTTTGGTTATTTTTGCACGGACAAGGCTAGGAAATGCGCTTTTCCGGACGCTCTTAGGTTCTACAAAACCGTCAATAATGGACGAAAGCTTGAAAAAATATTTTCAAACCGAATATTTTTAAATCTTGTACCGGGAGCATAAACACGCTATGTTTTTGGAATCAGCAAGACGAATTCATGTCCCAAAATTTTTTAGGAACTTTTCAATTTTATTCAATTGTTCCAAATGTCTCAAAAAATAAAGAAATATTCACATAAAGAGGAAAAGGAGTGTAAGATATTTTTTTTTAAATACGCAAAAATTCAAAATTCTGTCATTAGTACAAGTGTTTTAAGTATTTTTGAACAAATATAATTAAACAAAATGTTATTTTTCATTGTTTTTCAGATATACTATATAAATTCAATTAATTTTTTTTTGTTCGTTCAACCTTGAAACATTACATATCATAACTAATAAATGTAATATTTTTATATTTCGCAGATCAGTGGATGTACGAAACATTTGTCAAAGGCCTCTAAAATGCGTATCAGGTTTCATTTCAAAATCATCAAGAGGGCGTTGATTTTTTGTAAACATTATGATGTAGGGGTTACAATGCAGAATAGTACAACCTAACCTCACTTTTACATATTAGAAATACATAACATTCTTCTAAAAAAAAAAACGCTAACTAGATTACTTTTTCAATTGGGCATCCTTTACCATAAGATCGGGAAAAAAAATCCTCTCGTAGGTAATGAAATTTATTTTTAAAACAATGATGTTGGCAACAGCAACGCGTTCCTTACTAAGTTTGACAGTTACGGTCAAATAAACTGTCAAATAGCTGTAGTTCTAACATCATTATTTTAAAAATAAATTTCAAGGCTTACTAGAGGACTTTTTTTTGGTCACATGGTACTAATTATAATGCATTTGTTTCCAAAACTAGACGAACCTATTCTTTGCAATCTGTGTGGTTATTTTTAAAAAATAAAAGCTTATTATGATTGTGTATACCACAAATTTTAGAAGAATTAGAGATTCTGATTAAAAAAAAAGTATCAATGAAGTAGTCATTACGAAAATTTTTTAGATAATTATGTTAGAAGATAAACATCATTAAATAAATGGACACACGCTGAATAAATAATTACCAAAATATAGCTAAGCACGGACTGGATGTACATGCCCAAAAATAAAATCCTTTGTTAGCACATTTAGTTATGTGAAATTGTTGCTATGGAAAGTTTTAAAAATGTATTAATCTGTATTGGAAATCGAGATCTTCCCTTTACTGGTTACTTGAAAACTTTGGTCATAACTTAAACGCTTCATCCTTAATTGTGTTTCCTCTAATTACGGTTTTTAGATTTTGGAGAAAAATATACATTATTTCCCTTAGTTACTAAAACTCGGGAAATTAAATGAAGCTAGGTCAAACGCTTGAAATCTCGGAAGCAACAAAATTTTTGTCCACATTGTGTTTAATTTAAAAAGGATTGTGTGATTTTTTCGCTATTGCCAATTAAAATGCTGTAAAATATGCAATAAACTAAAAATTATGTGCCAAATTTTGCACCTGTTAAAACAACATAATCCCAGTAAAGTCCACATAGAAAGCACACATTTTCCACATTTCCCCAATTTTCACCAAACAAATTTCCTACTAAAACAAAACTTGTCACAGTAAACATCACAATACTTTTATTACCGGCTGCAGCCTGCAATTTATTACCAACCATCACTTCCCTCACCCTGCAAATCATCCCGAAAATTCTGAACAAATCGTAAAACTGCCTATTCGAAGCAGCCCGTCTTCTTGCCCCTGAAAACTCCTGAAATTTCCAGCCCGCCTTTGCGCATCTGTTACCAGCAGCCGAAGAACAAGCGGCTCTATCAGTATCAGTCCGTGTACGACCCGCGCAGAAGTTGGATGTTTACCACTTCCCACCAAATCCTCCGTCTAACGTGCTTTCGTACTTCGCTCACTCAAACAAACCGGTCAACTTTCGTGCTTTTTCTGTGACAAGTGCACAAATTCGGATATTCCCAGGATTTTCTCTTTCAGGACGACCAGGTTAGTGCGAAACGAAAGTTTGTTCCTGTTCCGGCGAGCTTCCGTGAAAAGCTGCTAATTAAAAATTTAAATCCTTTGGCGTCCGGGCGTCTTTGGAGCTTTCGCAGACGGCTTTTTTCGTCAATGGGGGTCTATAGATACTTGATTAACTTGTTTCAAGAGGAATTAAAAGTTGAGGTCAATTTGGATTAATTATCTTCGGGGAAGTCGCATCCCTTAATTGTGTTTTGATTATGTCGTGGCGGGTTTAATTGTGTGTTATTGAGGTAATAAAGGATCGAGAGGAATTGTGTTTCGTTCGGGTTATTAAGTTTTTAATTGAATTATGGGTAATTACGGGGGCGTTAATGATTTTACTTTTTTGAGGTCCAGTGGGAAACGGCAATAAATTTTATAGGTTTGCCGAATATTTTTAAGTACTGTATTTTTTTATTCAATAATTATTTTTGTAATTACCCTCGAACAGGGAAAAATTTTTTATGACGTTTTTAACCCCATTTATTTATTTTGATATATTATTTAAATAACTACCTATTATCACTCGTTTTAATCAAATATCTGAAACAGAAAAAAATTGGGAGTTATGAAAATAATTAACATTCAGTCTTCAGGTTCTTATCTTTGGTCATTTATTAAGATTATAAGTGGTTTTCACTCGATTTCTCTCTTGTTGTCCATATTTTATTATTTTTTAAAAAGTGAAGTTAAAAGTTAAAATCGTAAAAAAAAGCGAATCATAAAATAAGGATTATATGAAAAAGCATAAAAAAAATAAATATGTATCAACAAAATATGCTTTAGACTTTCATAGTTAAGAAATAAAAGCTATATTAATAATACTCGAACTAAGCAACAAATTAAAACTAAATGCTTTTCAGTATTTTAAGTTAAAAATTTTGTCGGCATTGTTAATAGAAATTTATTTATTGAAAAGCTTCGTTCAACATCAACAGATTGTGTAATTGCTGTGCGTATTTCAAAGCACCGATTACATCGTTTACAAATAAATTTCCACGTTTTTACAGTATCCATTGAGAACTTTGTTCATTTGCTGCAAAAATTAAAACCACTATTTGTCTTTACAATACGACGTTTATTTAGTAATTTGTTTCATTTTTTCGAAAGTTTTCAGAAGTTTTCTTCAAATTTGTTATCTACTAAATTAATATATTGCTACAGCAGCAATAATTTAATTAAAAGACCTAAAGTTATTGCACGACAAATTAATAATTCCATTTAATAAAACAAAGCTCATGATATCGCGCGTTTTTTTGAGATTAACTGATATTTTGATGCATTGTATTTTATTAAAAAAAAAAAAAACAAATTGTTAATGAAATTTTTTTAATTTCTAGTAGTGTTTAAAGACAATCTGCTTTTTATTGGTATATGCGAAATAAAAATTTATTTGGTAGTAGTGAAGATTTTTTAATAAAAATTCGCCCTGTATGGTGTAAAGTGGTAAATTTTTATTGATGGCATTTATTTCTTCGAAAATATAAGAAAATAATTTATAATTTTGTATTTTATAAGGCTTTGGTTTAGGAGAGTCCTACAATTTTTAACATTGATTTTATTTATCAGTAAATTAAAATTGAAAAAAAAAAATGTAAAAAATCGAAAAATATGAAAAATAATCCTACGTCAATACTTAAAAATTGACTTACTTAAATCACACAATTTCTCTTGAATCCTAAAGGATTTGATTTTTCATATATACAGGATGTTTCAGCCAAAATTAAATTAAATTAATAAAAATTTGCGGACATACCTATGCCAAAATAACTACTTTATTTTTTTATGTTTATAAATTTAATTCAAGCTAGAAACAATGGCGTTTACGGCATTTCTATATCTCTATCCGTTCTCAAGATATTAAGCCGCAAACTTTTAGCTGAGACATCCTATATACTCCGGACTTTAATGATGAAGAAAATGTACATTAAGGGCTATTTTGTAAAAAAAAAAATATTTTTTAGACAGTACTTTCCTCGCCGCCATGAAATACAACAAACTAGCTTTTAAGTAATGGGTTCTATAGTTTCTTGGTTAAATTACAGTTGCTATTTACACGATGTTCTTAAAATATATATATGTAAAATTTTGGAACAATGTACTCAATAATTTTGGAAATTATTTGTCCAGAAAAACTGATAACAGATGAAAGACGGTAGACGAACAGAACCGGGGACCTACACTTTTATATTTTAGGAGCTATGAAACGTCGAGAAAATATGAAATTAACCATTAGTCAAATGTTATTTACAATGCTTCAGCTAGTTTATGTTCAGGAAGTCGTATTTTCAGTGTTTCGCCACTGCTGTGGGTGCTTTTATATTTTCTCGACGTTTCATGCCCATTAAATATAGAAAAATAGGTCCACCGTTTCCGTCTGCTTGTCTGTCTACCCTCTGTCGTCTGTGTCGATTTTTAGTAGACAGATTGACAGAGATAGTTAGATTCTAAACTACCGGATCGATTGTTGTCAAATTTTATGTATACAGGATGAGTCATTGAGTGTGCGTTCCTCGATATCTCACTAATTATTGAAAATGTATAAAGTCATACATTAAAATTATTTTCAACTATACAGAGTGTTCTGTTTTCGAGACATAATATACAATTAGTATTTTTAAAAGGAATCCTGTATATATTTTTATATATTCCCATTGGCTTCTAGCTAGGCTTCAAAACCGTAGTTTATTTTTGTGTCTAATAGTAATTAATGAGATGACTCATCCTGTAGATGTTGGTAATACCGAGTAGATGGTCAAACGCCAACCAAAATTCTCCTGCACTTGTGGTTTATGAATCCGTGTTCAGTTTTTACCGTAGCTATCCCTTTGAAATTGTACAACCGAACGCTCTGAAATCTTGTAATCGTTTTTAGGTTATCGTAATAAGCTTGGTAAATCGTATTGCAACTTTGTATCAATCAGTGTATTCATATTTTTTCTTTTTTGTATAGATTATCATGAAAAAAAATCGCAAAATCTAATTTTATAATTTATCAAGAAGCAGGGTCGAAGGATCCTTCTAACTTTTAATATTAATTTCATGGTTCTAAAAATCTTATCTCACCAAAGCCACTTAATTCCAAGATAACACAGCAGCTGTCTGTGCGTTTAGAACGTGAAGTGAGACTTTGTCACTTGTAAGAGAAAGCTCACAAATACACTTTTCTCTAGAAGTGCACACTTGTCTTTTTTGATTTTTTATCGTGTTAAATTTTTGTCAGTTCTTTGTTAAAAAAAAATCAAGAACGATCTAAACCACAGTGGTTAGAAAAACTCTTTATAGTTTTTCACATATTCCAAAAAAGTCCTCTGTGTAAACCTTAATTTTTTACGGGAGAAATTAAGGAAAAAATTGTCGTCTATTTCTTATTGTATATTCCATACTCAATTTAAGCCTATTTTTGAAGAGCGGTTTGAATGTAATAAATTAATCCAAAAATGGTACCTACTGAACAGAACAATGAGTTACTACTTACAGAAGTTCAAAACGTTTCTAAGATCAGAACGCAGAAACCTATTTTCTGTATCAGTTGCAGAAGAAAAATATTTCTCGATGTTTTCATGAATATGAATAAACAATGCGCAATAATTTAATTATAACTATTGTTTTTATACTGCCGTTATTTATCAGCAAACGAAGCATAAATTAAATAGTTTTATCAATCGAATCGAATTTTCATATAAAATAGAGTCCACCAAACAGAAAGTCAATGTTCACGATTTAGCTGACTCTACTTTCATCGACACATTTTGATAATATTGTTTCTCGTATTTTTTACTTAAATGAAAAATTTGATTTACTCCTATTGTCTTATTTAACATTTGAACGACATTAATTTTGGCAGCTTTTTATTTTTATGCTAGGTTAGAACATGTTTTTGAAACTTTAGCCAAATAAAAAATAATCTCAGATGTTTTGAATGAGAAATCGATAACCGTAACTAAATATACGTTTATAAAATTCATTACACGGATCAAGAAAAAATTACGTACATAAATATTCTTAAAAAGTTGTCGAGCTTGAATTTTATTCGAGCGCCAACTCGAGTCTTTAACGGCCTCCACTCTGACCTCTTCCTACAAGTCTTGTAACATTAGTCGCTACATTAAGGCTGATTATCTCATCACTCGTTATCTCAAATTCATAATTTACAGCGGCATGATATTGTACGAGTTGAACAACATAGACTTATTAATAAACAGATGCGTGTCCTGCTTACCCGAACACAACTGAATTAAGAGTAACATTTTAATTATTAATTAATTTAAATCACCTTGTTCCGTTCCTTAATTAACAGAACGAGCGACAGAGTTCCCATTCGTTTAATTTGAAATCTGCTTGCAATTTCACGAACGAAATTGCTCCATCGCATTGACGTTTTTGCCCATCTTAATCGCATGAACAATCCATTCGCCATAAAAAGGACAAGCCTGCGGGAATAGTCGCCCGCAAAAAACCTAAACATGAGCGCTGAGTCAATTAACAGGCACGTTTTGAGTAAATTTTCTGTTTTTGCGAGGATCGTTCAGCACGCGATACCATCTGGGATGCACGTAAAAACTGGAAAAACTAACCCCCGACCTTTAAATGCCAATAGGTCCATTATACCACAATGCACTTGTTGTGTGATTAGAGAGAGAAAAACCCTCGGCGGACATAATGGGAAGATAATAATTCCTCTCCACCGCCTGTCTTGAGAGCTGATTTATGAATAGATGCCCTTTGCATAACCGAATTTCGTGCGGCGGTCAATACTCGAGGGTAGTTTTCTTCAAAGGGCTTTTGAGCACACGATGGCTCTCGGCTTCTTGGAAGAACGTTTCTGACCCACTTCGCCGCAAACTAATTAAGCAGGAGGAGGCGTTTTTGACTTCGCTCGGTAATTGGGTTGACGGCGTGTGACAGCAGAATGCAGAAAAACATAAACCTAGTTAACTATTTTTTTCAAATACTTCATCACTTCAAAATTTCATAAAATAATA